ACCCAATGATAATCTTTCAATTGTTGCTTTGTTAACTTCGCGCATTTATTCGCACATTGTTTATTTGTTCAGATGTTCTATTAGTTATAGGTCTAAGTGATTTCAAATATGTATTTTTTACGACTAGAGTGTATCTAAAATGTTTTTGAGAAAATAAATTGTTTTAGAAGTAAATAGTTTCGTCATGTTTAGTTTATAAAGGCATATTTTTGTACAAATCTTGAAGTGTGCCAACTGAAGTGGGAAGGGGCTCGTACAGTATACGGAAATGTTCATTGCAGCAATCTGACGATTTTGTTTTTCATGAAAAGCCCAAATAATGCGTTACTCGTTCTGACAAGACATACGTCTTTTTGATGAACCGACACTACATGGAAAATTGTACTGGAAGTCGTGGGAATTATAGAGTCACTCTACTTGACATCATTTTTTGTATAGTATATCATTGGTCGTAGGTCGCTAAGCACACCCGAGACTATGTCAAGCGAAGCATATATTTTTTACATTCGTGTGTTCAAAGGGGATACTGTAAATGCGCATATTCATATTGCAATGTGACATGTTTATGTTACCTACTGTTCCTAAGTCAGCAGTTATATAGTGGTTTCAGCGAACTTCTCTGTAACCATTGTATAACGCTACACTGTAATACAAGCAAACCTGATATAGGTATCCATTTTGTTGATTCAGTAAAGTTTATACGCTACAATGCTGAAACTAATTTATATCAAGTAAATATACTAAGTGACATATAAATCCGAACACCCAGTTCAAATGGTTTTATTTTAATAAAATTTTGTATAAGTACTTAATGAAGCATAGTAAGTAAATGATAAAAATTTCAAAATGATTGCACTGCTTTAAAGCCCTTTGACCTTTAATAATGTGTGGATGCACCCTGATGTGCTACGCATACTCCAACGCGCCTAGGCATGCTTCTGATCAGGTGGTCAATGTCCTCCTGTGGTATCTCATTCCAGGCAACCACCAACTCCTCTCGAAGTACTTCTAGAGTCTGAGGAGGACGTTGCAAATTGAGCAATCTCCTACCCATCATATCCCACACGTGCTCAATGGGGGATAAGTCGGGAGATCTTGGTGGCCATGGTAACAATGTGACATCATTATGTTGAAAGAAGTCTATTGTGACTCTTGCAACAGGTGGTCGGGCATTATCTTGTTGGAAAGTTGGATCTGCCAGGGTGTCAAGATAGGGTAAAAGATGGGGTTCTAGAACTTCGTGGATATAACGCTGCGCGTTCATGTTACCTCTGATGAAGATTAAAGGTGACCTGGAACCATAAGCTATAGCACCCCAATCCATAACTCCAACAGTGTGATGAACATGTCTTTCAACAAAAAACTGTGGATTCCTCATTTCACCATGTCGCCTTCTAACCCTCGCACGACCATCGTGCATGCCTAAACAAAATCGAGACTCGTCACTAAAGACAATACTGTTCCATTCCTGATCCCAGAGTGACCGTGGTCTGCACCACTCAAGGCGACTACGTCGGTGTTCTCGAGTTAAAGGGAGGACCCAGTGTGGCCGGTATGAAAACAAGCCAAAACTTCTCATCCGTCGGTAAACACTTCGCATGCCAACAGGTCTTCCGTGTTCTGCAAACCATTCATTTGCAATGGACCTGGTAGTGGAGAAACGGTCCCTTAAGGTCAATAATCTTAGGCGGCGATCTTCACGGTCTGTTGTTCTACGGCGGCGTCCAGTGCACTTTGCTCTTTGCGTACGGCCTTCTCGAAGCCATGCCTGACAACACCCACAGTGTCTACACTTCTTTGCACTCTAACTGCAATTGCCCGAAAAGAAAGTCCAGCTTCCCGAAGTTCCACTATACGACCCCTATCAAACTCACTAAGTTGACGAAATCGTACAGGTCTCCGTACTCTAGGCATCGTAACCGATCGTAAAGGATGTCAAGAACCAAAATCCGCCAACGTTGATTCTTTACTGTAGCTGAAATATTCATTTTTAGAGCGTTAGTGAATTAAAAAAAAGCAGTATAAAAACCGGAATGTCCAACTGATAAGGCTGAAAATTTTTTCACTTGTTATTTACAGTAAGATAAATACATTCACCAACTTTTATTAAAATAAAACCATTTAAACTGGGTGTTCGGATTTATATGTCACTTAGTATATTTAATTATTCACTCGGGGTCGACTGAAAGTGTGCGTTCAAAGAAATGCAACAAAAATCGCGATTTCAATGAAAACTGAATGTATAAAAAAAACTGAGACATTTGAAACGTATATGCACATAAGTGTTTTTAAAATAAACAAAAAACTTAAAGAGACTTTAGGGACGCAAAAATTCATAATTATATTGTCGTTTGTCTCCTCTTTTTCTTTGAAATAGCGTCTTGGAATCGCATGTCTAATTTAGATCCAAAGACTCTGTATCTCCCTGATTTTCGACAAAACTTTTGAGCTTTACAATATTTTATTCGCAAGTTGTTGCACTATTTCAAAAATACAAAATAAACATGGTACGTAAGTGAATATAAGCCAGTTCTCGAAATAACTGTTCGAGTATTTATATGCATCCTAATCATTATTCTAGGTTGACAAAACAGTCTTATCAAAGGGCGATATGCCTTTATTTATAATAGTGTGCTTAAAATCCAATTTACTGGCTATAGGAATAAATACGAGATCGCAAACAGTCAATAGAAAAGGGTCTTCATCTTGGGAACAGTAAATACTTTAATTATATTTGTGTACCTTATTAACATCAATAATTTATTTTTGGAAAAGTTCAGTAAACACTATTAAATATATGTTTTATGATTATACAAATTATGACTAACTAAAATAGTATACAGGATAATCTTACACCTCAATCGCTAAAACACTGAGTTATTTCTTTTTTTTAATTGGGATAAGAAAAATCTGCGAACCAAAAAAATCGTTATTCAAAAGAATATAGAACAAACATCGAACGTCAGTACTGAATCTTAACCTCACTCTTTAGTAACATTAAATTCAAAGTTTCACAACAATACGTGCAGTGTTCTCACCAAGTGTCACCAAGTCATTAGAAAAATGGAACTCAACCGAGAACATTTTCGCGCCATAATTTATTACAACTTTCAGAGACAATTATCGCAACAAGAATGCCTTTCTGAGTTACTGTCTGTTTTCGGCAACGAAGCGCCACATCAGTCGACAATTTTCCGTTGGTATGGAGAATTCAAACGTGGACGGGTGAGTCTTAGCGACGATTCCAGGGTGGGTGCAGCAAAAACGGCAGCCGCCCAGGAAAACGTCGATGCTGTGCGCAAACTCATCATTGAAGATAGACATGTGACATATCGCGAGATTGAGGTGTCCTTGAAGATCTCAAAGACCTCAATTCAAAAAATTTTTACATGAGGAATTAGGAGTAAGAAAATTAGTTTCTCGTTGGATACCCCACCTGTTGACTGAAGAGCAGAAAGCAGCCAGGGTTAATTGGTGTCAAAAAACGCTTGACCGCGTCAAGTGCCCGAGGGACTGAAAAACAGTGTTCCGGGAAACACTTGGCAAAGACGCTTTGTGGGCGGCTAGAGTAGCATAATTCTACTAGATACACGTAATAAAATCGTTTACCTAAGGCGATTTTCACAAATGACAGGCGTCTGATGGAATTCTGATCGAAGTGCGGATAGGGGCCTTCCGGACGTCGTTGGGGCAAACTGCTTGGTGGGTGGTTAGAATATGATAAATAATCACGACATATCGACAAAAATCCTGGACCTAACTCGATATTGAAAAATTATGATTTTTTTCGTAAAGGGCCCTAGGGGCTGAAAGACAATGTTCCCGGACACACTTCGCAAAGCCACTTTGTGGGCAGCTAACTCGATTTTAAGAAATTATGATTTTTTTCGTATATACCCCGCGTTAAGTACCCTAGGGGCTGAAAAACAATGTTCCGGGAAACACTTGGCAAATACGCTTTGTGGGCGGCTAGAGTAGCATAATTTTACGAGATACACGTAATAAAATCCTTTACCTTCCGGAAACTCAAAAGATGTGTACAGCATTGTTAGTGGTGATGAATCGTGGATTTATTGTTACGAACCAGAAAATAAACGACAGTCGGCTGTTTGGGTGTTTCAAGGTGAAGAATAGCCAGCAAAAGTCATCCGTTCTCGAAGTGTTTCGAAAAAGATGGTCGTGACATTTGTGTTAAAAGCGGGTCATATTGCAACAATTAATCTTAATGAGCAAAGAACTGTTACTGCGGATTGGTCTACCACCATTTGTTTGCCAAAAGTCATCACCGAGCTTCCAAAAATCAACCCCGAAGGAAGAATCATCCTCCACCAAGACAATGCAAGCTCGCACACAGCCCAAAAAACAAGGCAGTATTTAACAGAAGAAAACGTGGAATTATTGGACCATCCTCCGTATAGTCCCGATCTAAGTCCTAACGAGTTCTTGACTTTCCCGAAAATTAAAAACACTCTGCGTGGTCAAAGCTTCGAAAATTGGTTCGAGCGCATGCAGATGTGTATTAATCTTCGTGGAGAATACTTCGTCATTTAAAACTACCTACCGTGTTGTTTTATTTCCATATGCAAAACTTAAAAGACATCCCTCATAATTACTAGCCATACACATATTTCAATACTTTTGATTCTTTATTTTTCCTCTAAAAGTTAACCATGAAACTAGAATGCGTGACACAATCTACTTGACTCGACCTTCGTTTCTACAACTTATGTAAATTCCTATTATTCTCATATAAAATAAATCAAGGTGACTAAATTGAGAACTAAGAATATATTTTTTCTATACTTCATTCGCTATAGACACGAAAATGCGAGCATATTACTGAATCAATCTACTTGACACTCTTACGGATTTCTCTAAAGTCGATCTACTTGACCCGTATGCGTCAGACCATTGGAGCTTCCCTTGAACTCCGAGACGTGGCAACATTGCTTACTGATATGTTCTGTCTTTGTCACGTCTCTGGTCTAGCTGGAATTTATTTTCTTTCTATCCCAGGTTCCTTCCGTCTTCATTCTTTATGTGATTCCGGTAATAAGTAGTGATTAGGGCAACAATAATTTTATTGGTGATAAGATTTTACATTAGTTTAAGAATCAGTAGTTGCTGCCAATGTACAAAACGCTTTCACAGAGTGTAGTGGTATTTTTATTGCTGGTGCGGTAAATAGGATTTTTTGCGCTGTCTTGAAGTTTGGCAGATTATGAAGACATGCAGTTTAGTTGTGATGTCGATATGTCTAGGCTGGCAGAATATAAATTGTCCCAGAAGTGCCCTTTCTTGTACAGGCTGCCAATATTAAAACTAGGACAGGTCAGTTTATTTTAATTATTCATTTATATTTTGTATCCATGAAACCTTTCTTGGAAAAAAGTAGTGTTTGTTGGTTTTTGTAGACCAAAGAAAACAGAAATTCCTTCCAAAGAGATTAGGAGGAAAACAGTGGCGGGTGTAGAAAATATTTTGGGGGAGGATTCATCTGATGAATTTGAAATTTGTGACCAAGAAAGCGCCAAATTCGAGAGTATTGAAGAACGGGGATGCAGATTGAATAACACATTGCAATTTTTGTAACTCGAATATTCGGCGTTAATTGCGTCTTGTGCTGTGACTGGTGGAGCAGTTGCAATCACGTCGTCGTTATTTTCCTGATTGTTTGTTGTATAATTAGAAACCTGTTTTATAATCTCTTCGTCAGACATTTCATGAAAAACGTTTTCCTCTTTATCCATTCCACGGCACCAGATTTCCAAATCTTCCGGACTTATCTGTGTTTCAGTAGCGACTTGTTCTATAACTTCCGAAGTAACACTGATTTGTGAAACGTTGCTAGGAGTGGTGACTATAACTGGCCATAACTTTTTCCAAGACGATTTAATAGTTGATGACGGTAACGCATTCCACGACTGACAAAGAGCAAAAACCAAGTCTTTCATATTAAAGTTTTTTCTATTGGTTGGTCTTTTGATACGGCTCTCAGAAGTAGGTTTTTCTTGTAGTCTTGCTTGACAAACTAAATAATATTCTGGTCCATTGGTTGAATCAGTGCAGTGCAATTTGGCGGAAGAAACATCGCAGTGATGCATTTATCCTCAGTTGTTAGTTCTTCAGACGGATGACCGGGAGCGTTATCAAGAAGCAACAACGCTTTTTGAGGAAAATTATGATCATTTAACCATTTTCTAACTCCAGGTACGAAGCATTCATCAAACCACTTTTTGAAAAGGTCTTTTGTCATCCATGCACTTTCTTGTCCGTAATAGTGTACGGGTAAATCAATGTTTTTGAATTCCCGTGGTTTATTAGATTTGCCAATGACCATCATATTAAGCGCGTGTGTTCCCGCAGCGTTAGCACATGGTAGTATGGTTACACGCTCTTTACAGGCGTCCCTCGATTTACGCGGGGGTAACGTTCTTTGAAAACACCGCGTAAAAAGAAACCGCGTATATCCAAACAAAACATTTTATTAGATAAACTTTTATTAAATACATAATATACATAGGTATGTTTGTACATATTTATGTATGAGAACATTAAACGTTAATTTTTCAACTAAACTAATTTTTAGAAAAATAAGACGTAGTTTTTGACTGTTTAGCTTCGTTGCGTAAATTCTTCTCAACCTCCTTGTATGGTACCAATGCTGCAAAAACCTCTCGTCTAGTTTTTAAACTTCTTTCCATTGTAGGATCTTCCCTGATTAACAGCTCGGTGAGATCGTGTGCCATGGTAAAACATTTATTAAGCGTTTTCTTCGTTAACTCCTTTAGTGCCGGGACTACTTCATCATCTTCACCTTTTTCTTGAGCTTCATAATTGTTCTCCGTCAGTTCTATGAGTTCTCTTTCAGTGAGTTCAACATTATGCGATTCAAATAGCTGATTTATATCGTCCTCATTCATATCATCGAATCACTCTCCAGGTAATGACTTTCCTAAATCAGCAATTTTTTTGATTTCGTCTCTGATATCAGGCGCCTTCGCATGAGACTTCACAATTTATGGCTATAAGTGTTTCCAGCAGCCATTTAATGTCGATTTTTTAAGTTCACCAATCGATTCTCTAATACTATGTAGGCAATCTGCAATTGTGTAATCCTTCCAGCATTGGCTTAATGTTTTTGTAGGGTCGCGGTCCAAGTCTTCTAACAGCATTTTAAACGTGCGTCGCGTGTTAGGCCGTACCGCTATCACCATTAGTCAAATTCAAACTAAGTAAAACAATGCTTACGCGTCGGGCACGATAGCGGTGGCGCGTACAAGTTGTAACCTGTTCAAACCTGCGTGATCTACATTAGCGAAGATTGTCAAATACGTATGTATGTAATACATATTCAAAGACATGTCGGATTACAGGGGGCGCCGGATTAGACAGGGGCCTAATTATCGGGAGTCCACTGTAGTACTATAGCAATCATTCAGGACCCCGTTGGCACTGGCGCCCTAAGTACAGTGCATTATGTGCCTCATAAGACAGAGTGTTTCCTGATTGAATGTAAACATTGAGGCTCTAGCTCTATTTTAAGAAGAAAACTTCATATGAACGTCTTTCCTAAGTCTTGACTTGCTATAAAAACTTCTTGAGTTGGGGAAGAGAACACAAATATATTTCAAATTCGGCATATTATTCTGTTGAAGTTCATGCACATTTATTACTCTTAGAGGAGATTTTAAGGTTACGTTGGTATTTTCACGCGTATTGCTTGTGATGCGCGACGTTTTATTTTTTTGATGGACAATAAGGACCAAAAAGAGGCAGGATCGGCTTTCATCGAATACTGTACTGTTTGAAGCCTTGTATGCCATTTTGATGTGATTTTATGAGCGTTCTTGATCTGGTGAATTCAATTGCGTGCCACGAACTTCCTATAATATTCAGGACTATGTTTTTTGTGTGATAGATGTCAAAATAATCTAGCCTTTAGTTACCAGTCAGTGGGTACAACCACTAAGAATTTTTCTTTTACACTTTTAATGAAATAACAAAAGTTAACTAATAAACAATTTTATTATTTGAAAAATAATACCACCTACGCATTAAAAGAACTGTATCAATCTACTTGACTCAGTTTCTCTCTTTTTTCAAAAATAACTTATCGTTAGTTATACAGGGTGTTTCAGTTTATTGTTGCATAACTTTAAGATTCGATAGAACTTTTAAAATTAATGCATAAAGTCTAACATGGGTCGAAAAATGCGTGGCTTCCGAAATACAGGGTGTTTAAATTTACTTTCTAAAATAGTTTTTTTTTAAATATTTCGAACAATATTTGATGTATAACAGTGAAAATTTGGTATACAAGGGTTTTTTGGTACGACAAAACGAACCATGGGCATAGTTTTACTGTAGCCGCTAGAGGGCGCTCTCTACTGTACCTGTAGTGTATTAAAATGACCGACAAATTTTTCTTAATGCAATTTTTTGCTTTTTGAATAAAAAAAACTGATTCTTCGCACTTTTCAACATAAAAAAGCTCTCTTGTGAATTTTCGTTATAGTTCGATGAATTTTTAATTATTTATGATAAAATAACGTTAAAAAGTCAGTATCTCGATAATTTTTAGAAGTAGGCTGTGCCTGCAAATATTTTTGAAATTGAAAGCAGAATAAGGTTAAACGTCAATTAGTTGACAGTTAGTTTTGTTGTCTGTTGAAACCTGAAACGTTTTTTTGCAATTGTGAATGCACGAAATTTAGTTTCTTTTACCTGTTTTTTTGTAAGTTTTATAAAAATGCCATTTTTATTCTCCAATCAAGAGTTAGCGGATATTCATTTTGTGTATGGCTTTGTAAATGGAAACGCAGCAGAAGCAGCCAGGGAATACGCACGAAGATTTCCAAACAGACGACATCCAACTCGCTCAGTATTTGTAAGAGTGCATCGCTAAATAATTGAAAATGGTTTTGGAAATCTCCAAAGGGATCAAAACATAAATGTTCGTCAGCGCAGATTTACCCGAATGATTCTGCGTGAGTTTGATAGAGATCCGACCACAAGTGTTAGGGGAGTTTCTGGTGCCTTGGGAATTTCAGCAAGCCATGTTCACCGTGTTCTTAGAAATGACCATAGACGTCCTTACCATTTGCAACCTGTGCAAGGTCTACAGCCAGGGGACGGAGAACGAAGAATCACATTTTGTCAGTAGATTCTTGATAGAACTGATAATAATAGGGAGTTTTTAAGTAACGTTTAATGGACCGATGAGTCATGCTTCACTAGACGTGGAGTGGTAAATTTTCATAATCAACATATTTGGTCGCATGAAAATCCGCAAGCAGTTCGGGAAAGAAACTTTCAGCAAGAATTTAGTGTGAACGTGTAGATTGGTATCTACCGTAATCGACTATTTGGACCCTACCTTTTGCCTGCAAGGTTAAATGCTGCGACCTTCTTGGAATTTTTAAAGGCTGAACATGCAAATATGTGGGATGATGTTATGTTAGATTTAAGAAGATTGGCCTGGTTCCAGCTTGATGGTTGTCCAGCTCATTATTCGAGAATAGTTAGAAACTGGCTGGACGAAAATTATCCAGAAAGATGGATCGGCCGTGGAGGACCAGTCGCCTGGCCTCCACGATCCCCTGACCTAAATCCATTAGACTTCTTTGTGTGGGGATTTCTAAAAGAAAAAGGGTACCAGACTCCCGTAACCACAAGAGATATGCTAATAGACAGGATCAGGAATGCATGTGATGAAATAAGGCCTTATTTGAATAATGCTATTATTCGATCATTCGTAGATGTGAATTGTGTATTGAACAATTGGGTTTACATTTCGAGCAACTACTTTAGATTTTCTATGTTTTTCCTAAATATCCAATAGCATTTTAGTTGTAAATAATTAATTTAATTTGTTAAAAATAATATTGTAAAATTAAACAAATTAATATTCTGTTTTTTTGTGTTTATTTGGAGTTAGGAATTATTGCTGTGTTTAAAAACACAATCTAAACGATCATCTTAATTACTTGTAATGCCCAAATCGAAAATGTAAAAAAAATATTATTTTCCCATAAATAATTAAAAATGCATCGAACCTTAAATATCGAAATATCTCAAAAACGGCTAACTATAACGAAAACTCACAGGAGAGCTTTTTTATGTTGAAAAGTGCGAAGAATCAGTTTTTTTTATTCAAAAAGCAAAAAATTGCACTAAGAAAAAATTATCGGTCATTTAAATACACTACAGGTACAGTAGAGAGCGCCCTCTAGCGGCTACAGTAAAACTATGCCCATGGTTCGTTTTCTCGTACCAAAAAACCCTTGTATACCAATTTTCACTGTTATACATCAAATATGTTCAAAATA